CCTGCCTCGGGATTCAAATAAGGCAACGTGACTTGCAAGCCGGCCCCGGCCGCCCCAGCTCTGACCTGCTCAAAGAGGTCGGGCCCTCTTCGATTAGCGAGGATGCGAGTCCGGTGTCTGATAATAAGGGGTACCTCCAGATCGAGTGCAGATCGAAATAAAGAAACGGAAAGGTTGAGAGAGGGGGGGGGGTACATAAATAAAGTAAAAGGAAAGGCGACGCGCCTTTTAGAAACATTGACTCGTCGCGAGATGTTAAGCAAATTGGCCGACGCGCTATCGGATGTGATCGTGTTTTATTCCGTATGCGTCGGGGCCGTAAAAGATCCAGTGCGGCCGACCTGCGGGGAGGGAAGTGCCTCCTATGCGAGCGGCCGGGGAATCTCGTTCCAGTTTTGTGAGCTTTTCCATGTTTTCACTAAATGGTCGGGGCGTTTCGGCGATCCCGACCGTCATGTTTTATTTCAGGGTCGTTTTATCCTCGCGCCTAGGCCGTAAGCTTTGACCCTAAGATGCGCAGTATCTGTCACATTTACCGGCCGCGAGCTCTTCCCCCCGACCCTCTTCCCCCTCTTCCCGCGCTCCGGCCGATCTGCGCCGCGCGGGACCCAAATGCGATATGAGGACCCGCCAAACATGTCGCATCGGGGCGGGCGATCAAAACACATTCCGTCCGAACATTCATACACGCACACACATATGCGGACACACGTATCGGTCGATCTGCCCGGAGCGGCTCGGTCAGGTCAGAGCAGATGGCCCGTCGGCCCAACCGCCCCGCTGAACCCGCCGGCGAATGGCAAACTCTGAGAGTCGCTCTGTTTTCAGATTCGCGGGTAGGCGTTTTATTTATCGTGGGAAGGGGAGGGGGCGGTTGAGCCGTGAAGAGAAAGAAGGGGATGAGTCGACTTACCAGCATGACATCTTTTTATACAGTCCCGAAGACTGTCTTTACCGGACGGATACACCAGAAGTTAAAGTTCCTGATGCCACCATGAGAGAAGTGCATTACCTGAAATTAACTTCGCAAGGCGTTTTTTGGTCTTCCCATGCACAAAACAGACGCCATAAATAAATAAGAGGTGACTAAACCCCTTCTCCTGTATCACGGCTGTTGTTAGGCGTTACGGAGAACTGTTGGTATTTTACGTCAAGGATGAGGGTGTTAACCTCTGGAGATGGGTGGAAAATGAGTTTAGCGTTAGATGGGGCTCTGTATTGTCTGAGGGGGGGGGGGCAGCGAGGCGCTAAGTTTTGTAAGCCTCACACCCAAGTTCAACATTTTTGCCCAATTAACCTCACAGACATTTAAATGTGTTTTATTGTCTCTTAGAAATTGAACTGGGTTCAGTTTTTCCGGGGAATGCCCCTTGTTTAGCTACACGCGGGGAGCCGGTATGGTGTGTGTCCCTCTTTATCTTTCCTCCATTGCTCTCCGGAAGACGCAGCGAGCGCCGAGTCCGGCCGCGTCCCATCTCACACGACACACCGGACGGGAGGGGGGCTCCGGCCGAGCCTCCACGGGGGCCATGCGGGCGTGCGGCGCTGGGGGCCCCCGCCGGGACGGGAGTTTAAGGTGCGCAAATTGGGGCCCACCTTGCGCGCTGGTGGTGGCGGCCCGGGCCCCGGGTGGCACCCGGCCGAGTCATATATGGGGCCGGGTGCCCCGGGAGGGTCCGGGAGGGTACCCCGGGTACTCAGTGCAGTACTCGGCCCGTTTTATGGCTCGACCGCAAGTTCAACACGGACGCCTTCGCCGGGAGAGCGGGCGGGGCCCGGCCGGGGAGAGCGGGGAGCGTCACCTCCGCTCCGGGAGTGCGTGCGAGAATGGCAACCGAATGGTGGCCCATCTCGCCGACAGTCTGATCGGTTTGTCGGCGGATTTCTCGTTTCGGGGTGGGCTGATCGGATGGCCGCCGCCGCCAACCGCCGACCGGCCCATCCTCTTGGGATTCGAGCCCTCGATCGATTTCTCGAGCTCTTCCGTCGCACGGCTGCTCTCGAGTGCTGTCCACACGCGGCTCACACTCACACCACCGCCCTGCGGCCCCGCCGCATCCACAGCCGTACGGTGGCGATGGGTCGTCTGCTCCAACAATAAAGGCCGGCCGCTTTAGCTTTGGAGATCTGTCTGTAGAGCTTTAGCTTCCACCGCTGCCACCATAAAGTTTACAGTTTAATATTGTGCCATGAGCCGGTGCCCCTTGCCCTGTTGCAGGCTTGATAGCAACTGGAACCCAAGAACCTCCCCACCCGCGCCGCCACCTCTTCTCTCTCTCTCTCTCTCTCTCTCTCTCTCTCTCTCTCTCTCTCTCTCTCTCTCTCTCTCTTATATCCCACCTCTCTCATGTTACAGTGAGCAGGTTGACCTCTCCAGACGCAGGGTGCCTTACCGTACAAGAGGGGGTTATCCTTCTCTGTCCCGATCGTCAACAAGAAAGTCAGACAGTTTGAAGAGGAGAGGTGGTCCACTTTTTATTATTTGCTTTCCGCGGGACACGGCTGTTGTTGTATTGGGGCTATACAGCGGGCACATTCCTCTGCCGTGTCGAGGGCGTGTTTCCGTAAAATTTAGGATACGCCTCCGACTTTCCTCATCCACCTTTGGTCCCTGTAACTTTCTGCACATTTTAAAGTTGCCTTCTTATTGTCCGGATGAGTTCTGGGGAAAATAAACGTCGTTGTTTGTGCTGACCGCCACCGACGTCACAATGAAAATCCACAAGTGATGCATACTCACTGGCTAAATGAATGTCTAAGGACGAAATTTTAAGGGACTATGGACATGCATATAAGTCAAAGTAAGTATGCATCCTTAACATACATATTATAACGAACAAGACACGTTATAAACTATTCAATTATAACATTGCATCTTCTTATTTACAATATTGTTCTTGGACGTAGGATGCGCACACGCTCACTGCTCCAATTGTCAAGTTTTGTTTCCGCCTCCTTTATTTTAGCTGAGGCTAAGCGACCAGGAACGTCCGCCGATAAAAGCAGTGAACATGAAATGGAATCGGTCCGTGTTGTGGCCGCCCGTGTGACGGTGACACGCTGCCGAGGCAGAGAGCCGCCGAGAGCCCCTCGCCGCCGGGCCGGACCGCAGCAAAGTCTCCTAGGAGACTTCGACGCGCGGGCGGCCGGGGTAGAGAGCCTAAGAAGCAGCCACGCTGATGTGAAGTTTTCGCGCGCGGCTTGTCTTGTAATCTGGCGACCTATGACTAATCGCGTTATATTCGACTGTTCGCTGTGCTCGGGCTTCGGTTCGGAGGGTTGGACGACGGCTTGCGCGCGGCGCGGGGGGACAGGCCCAAGCCCCTCGATTTATGGCAAGCAGTAACGGCAGGAAGGGGGGTGGTATGGGGGGAGAGGGCGACACTCCGCGGAGCAGATTCTCGAGTTGCAAAGCTACTGCCATTTTCATGCCTCGACTGTGTCAAAACATGACGCCTAGCGTGCCTGGCTGCCCTCACGCACCGCGTGCTCGGCGAGCCGGCGCGCGAAACAAGACGAGCAGCGTATGAAGAAGGCTTCCGTACGTGTCGGTCGCGTTGCGCTGCTGGCCGGCCGGTCCCTACCCCCGCTCCCCTGATTGATTCTAATGACGCGGCCGGGCGTGTGTAGCGCATGAAATGTCTCCCGTTGAAGAATGCGCATTGTGGGGCACGATCCCTTTCAACTAAACGCTTGCAAAACGATGAGCTATAAAGCACGAAACGGAATGAGGCTTTCTCTTCTCTCTGTCTCTCCCCCTCTCGGTGTGACTCCTCCTCCTCCTCTGGCGCCCGCCTCGCGCGCGCCCTGCTGGAGGACCCGCAATATGGCACGCGGGGCGAGGTATTGAAGCAAACATTTAATGACCAATAACTTGTTAAAAACTGAAAGAGGACGCCTAAGCCTGTTTTCTATCGACGGTGCACTCGCGCGCATACGCACCACACGACATGACCACAATGCTACGGTAGGCAAATGACTGCCTCGTTTGGACGCTCTTTACGATGTGGTCCTTCCCTACTGTAATTTATATACTTAACTAACCGGTCGTACCGATCACATTCAAATCCTTACAATCGATTTGCCATCGCGTAAGCCGAGCCACGCGGAGAAATTACTATCATTTAAATTTACCCCGCTTGTTGCTCCGTCGTACACGCCTAGAAATAGTCTTCCCCCGGGATTTCCGTTGCTTTTTGACCGCTACGGAAAAGCTTTTCTTTCCCTTGCCGTAGTCTCTCTCTCTCTCTCTCTCTCTCTCTCTCTCTCTCTCTCTCTC